GTGTGTGTGTGTGTGTGTGTGAGAGAGAGAGAGAGAGAGAGAGAGAGAGAGAGAGAGAGAGAGAGAGAGAGAGAGAGAGAGAGAGAGAGATGGCGGGTTCGGGAATGGAAATGCCTCCCACTGGAGGGTTCAATTTCGATCTATGCAGGCGTAATGCCATGTTGGAGAAGGAGGGATTTAAGCACCCGCGCGTACGGAAAACAGGAACGACAATTGTAGGGGTTGTATACAAGGTAAGTCCATCCATGGCTACTCGCCCTTTTTTTGGGCCTTCTCTCCATGATGTTCCTTCTCTTCCTCCACCTTCTCTCTTGGAGGCCTAGCTATGGTGTGTCACATTTATGGACTGACTTACCTATGGTGCAATCGACCGTTCTTGTGCATGGAACCGCAAAGGAGGAGGGAGATCCCCCAAAACAAATGGGTGTACTAACACCAAGGCGTTTTGGCAACAGACAGAGTTTTTTTAATTTTTTTAAATTTTATTAACTGGCTCCATTCTATTGGACAACAGACAGAGGTTGAGGGTTCGAATCCCATTTTTGTAATGTTCATCAAGGAACAGAATGCGTCCGACTACGCTGTATTAGGAAAAGATTGAGCTTCAGATGATAGCGGCCACGATGATGATGATGATAATGATGATGATGATGATGATGATGATGACGATGATGATGACTGAGATGGTGTCGGCGATGGCGGTGACGGTGATCATGTCGATGGTGACGATTCCGTGAGGACGGTGGTTCTGGAGGAGGAGAATTGTCTCAATTAATCGTTCGGTCTCCATGATTAGGCAATCTACGAATCGGTCGGCCAATCCACCAATCGATCGGCCAATCAATCGGGAGATGATCATTCACGTGATCTATCATTGAATCGGTCGCCTCGGTCAATTACTATAATTAGTCAAGATCGGTCACTTATTAGGCATAACCAATCAGCCAATCTACCAATCGGTCCGCCCATCAAGCAGGAGAGCGGTATTTCTCGGGAATGGATGGGGTAATTATGCTCCATCTATTTATCAATCGTTCGGTAAATCAATCGGTTTGCTAGCTTGCATGAGAAGGAGAGATCGTGCCTTGCAAACCGATAAATTAGGGTAAAAGATCTCTGTTTTTGTTGTTGTTTCCCCCTTTTTCTCCCATATGATGCATTTGAAGTATCGGATCTGATCATCATTGATGATAATGAAGAGGGCGCATCCGCAAGAAGATAGACGGAAACGGCGCGGGATGTAAGAGATGGGGAGGGGGGAGGAGATTAGAGGAGGGAGGGTGGAGGACGAGGGAAGCAAGAGGGGGGAAGGGGAGGATGCAAGGGAGGTAGGGTATAAGCCGACGATGAGAGAGAGGGGGGGGAGGAGGGGTGGAGGAAAGAGTTTAGCAGGGCAGGGTAGAAAAGGCAGATGAAGAAGGGAGAATAGAGGGAGGGAGAAGAGAAGATGGGAGACGGGTAGGAGGGAGGAGAGGTTGGCGGGATGCAGAGAGTGCAACGGAGATGAGAAAGAACAGATGGAGGATAAGGTGCAGGGAGGGGGGAAGATGGTATTGATTAGAGAGCGAGCCGCGGGGGCAAACAAGGAACACGGGAAGGGGGAGGGAGGGGATGGGATATAGGGAGGGGAGTAGGAGATGATACATGACGGGAAGGATTGGATAGAGGAGAGGATGGAGAGAGGAGAGGGAGGGACGAGGAAATGATGGGAGGAGGAGAGGGAGGGGGATAGTCTAGAGCAGGCCGAAGGGAGGAGGGTAGGTGATGAGGAAAAAGCGGGAAGAGGAGTATGGAGGTGGGAGAGAGGCGGAAGAGAGGTGGGAGAGAGGTGGGAGAGAGGTAGGAGGAGGACGAGGAGGGGAGGAGGAAACGAAAAAAAAATATGGCGGGAAGAGTTTAGATAAGGCCGGGGCTCGACACAAAGGGGTGCAAGGAAAGAAATACCGAAAAAGGAAAGAAAAAAACTGTCCGAAAAGTGTTGGGCATAAGACCAGTGCTATGATGATCAGAGTTTTAATTAAATTAAATATTTACCAAAAAAAAAAAAAACCGTCTCTCACAGAAGCTCCGATTTTGAATTTGTCAAGGGGTGCAAGGAAAGAAATACCAAAAAGGAGTGAAAAGCCAAAAAAGAAAGAAATACCAAAACGGAAAGAAAAAAATGTAAGAAAAAACTGAAAATGAAACGTGAAATACTATGAAAATCCGAAACTCGGGAGAAAAAAAAAAACCTCTAAATTTGTATGTGAAAAAAAATGGGCGCCCTTAAACCGCTAGTACTACCTTCTTCCCCCGAATACAACGTATGGTCATTCTAGCTGTATTTGAGGCATCTTTCAGTCTAGATACAGCTTTAATGACCGTACGTTGTATTCGGGGGAAGAAGGTAGTCGGGAGGGGTGTCGCCCGTGCAGAAAGTTTTTATCCCCACAAAAAGCAAAAATCGTGGAGGCGATTTTTTCAACGGCCCGCCGTTGAAAAAAAAAATCGGCGGCCTTCGAAGTGGTGCGGGTTTCATGCCACCGTCTTCCCCACCCCCCCCCACCCCCCACCCCGAATAGAACGTACGGTCATTATCGCTCTAGTTGGGGTAACTTTCAGTCTAGGTACAGTGATAACGACCCTACGTTCTATTCGGGTGAAGTCGGTTAAAGCACCAGTACAGCACCACATATCGGCCCGCGGGTGTACGCATGAAACCCGCGGGCCGATATGTGGTGGTGTGCTGGTGCTTTAACCGACTTCATCCGAATAGAACGTAGGGTCTGTATTGCTGTACGAAGACTGAAAGTTACCCCAACTAGAACGATAATGACCGTACGTTCTATTCGGGGGGGGAGGGGGGAGGGGGAAGACGTGGCATGACCCCTGCGCAAATCAAGAATTAGTCCAGCATTTTCTCAGAATGGTCCAAAAAAAAAAGGTAGAAGAGGGCGCCAGCGTTGTTTCGTTCCTTTTGTCCAATCTCTCTCTCTCTCTCTGTTTTTTTTTTTTTGTTTTTGTTTTCTCTCTGTTTTTTGTCCATCATCTGTTTCTCTCGTCCATCTCGGACCCGCTGCTCGCGCTACCACGTTGTTCCCTCGAATAGAACGCGTACCGCAAGGTCGTTTTTTTGATTGTAGGGCGTGTCAAACTCCATTTTTTTTGGCTTTAGTTCTTTATTGTGGTCTCGGAAAGGTGGATTTCTAGTACGCGTTGTATTCGGGAGAAGGCGCTTAGGGGTGTTGTTTTCCCTGTGTGCACCACCTCCACCATGGCCTTCGCTTCTCCCTCTCTCTCTCTCATCTCTGTGAGCCCAACTTCGGATCCGATGGTTTTGACGAGATGATATTCACCCTCGGCCCGTTTATCTGACGAAAAAGACCCCAATTGAGGGACGAAAGACCCCAATTGAGGTGCGCAGGGGAATGGAATTGTCGTGCAGAGGAGACGTACCTGGTCCCAGTTTCGTGTCTGGGTACTGCCGAGAGGCGGTGGTGCTCTGTTTAGGGGTATAGCGAGAGTTCGACTGCAGGTTGTGATCCACCTACATCCTTCTTTTAACGACGATGGCGCCGACGACATTGATGATGATGATGTTGATGTTGATGATGATGATGATGATGATGATGATGATGACTACCACTATTTGCAGGTGAAACGCTCATCCCTATTTGCAGGTGAAACACAGACGACATTGATGATGATGATGATGATGATGATTTACTCCTTTTTGCAGGTGAATCCGTCATTTTTTGCCGCGATCTTGGCGTTGTGTGAGCCGATTGTAATAACGATTGACGATTTGGATGGATGGGTGGATGGATGGATGAATGATGATGATGATGATGATGATGTGAAGGAAGCAGTCGGGGTGCATGGTGAGGACGATGGCCATGGGGATGATCTCGAAAGCTGCTGTTGTTGTTGCTGCTGCTGCTGCTGCTGCTGGTGATGATGATGAGAATGATGATGACGTCGACGATGATGACGATGATGATGATGATGATGATGAAGATTATGTGGCAAACGAATGGCGCTATCCAGTGGCTTGGCGCCGAGGATATCGATGATCTTGAGAGAAGAGATGCAGCGAAAGTCGGCACGAAGTACTACATGATGAGGGTGTTGACACTGTGTAGCAGGAGATTGATTAGCGTTTTAGCCGTACGAGGATGTGATTGTTGATGATGAACGGGGTGGATCAAGGGTGTG